TGTATTATAAAGAAAAAAAGTCACAGAAAAAGTTAACTACTGTTAGTTAACTTTTGGTCAAAATGTGTTCAAAATGTTATTTGAATATTTAAAAGGCAAAACATTTCCATATTTTCTAACTGTAATATGGATTATGTGTGATGAATTTCATTAGACCTATATAGATTAACTGAAGCACGGGAATAGAAGAAATTTGTTACCATGGCAACACACATTAAAAAGGTATCTGATCTGACTTTACCTAACACATTTCTCCTTTGGAAATACACTTTTAATTAATTTTGTTGCATGACTCACTAATAGTGTTTAGGCAAGGATTACAAAAGTATAAATTCTTTCCACTTTCACTTTAAATGAAACCTAGGTAATGGCCTTGTAATCTTCAAGTATGGAAACTACTTCAAGGGACTCTCTTTGTTTTAATCTGCTTTTTTATGTGGAAATGATTAGCAAAGATATGGTCATTCCTTGGAATTACCTCCTAATTAAACAGTCATCATCTGAACATTTAAGATAAGATTATAACTGAAGGTCAAAGTGAGATGTGTAAATTAAGATACAGATTAAATAATATAATATATACACATACACAGATGTACACATTCACCCATGGACAGTATACAAAAAGAAATGTTTGCTGATCATTATTATTTTCAATAATTATATAACATCACATCCACTTGTAAGAGAAGTACAATAAAAATAAACTTGCTGCTAGAAAACAAACAAACAACACAGCCTTTATACAGGTAAACTACAGCAGTGTTTTGTACATAAGCATTCCTCCTATACTATTAACACAATGACTGGTTTTGAAATGGTGAAAGATTGTGTTTCAATAGGGCAAAGCTTTTAAAGACCAGAAATATTTGCTGCTCATATTGTGTGGTTATAATACTCACAGATGGAAGCCAATCGTAAGGAATGACATAGAAGGAACTTTAGGACTTAATTGTGACCTGTCACAAAGTGACAATAAGTGTTAGCGGAATGTCTAAAAAAAGTGACTATAGAACATTAGTTCTCTCAACAGTAAGACAATTACAGTTCTAAAAAAACATCCTTATAAGGAAAATGAGAAACTGATATTCAAGTAAAGGAAAGCTTAGCTGATGGTAAAATGGAAAAGCTGTCTAACTTTTATACAGACAGAAAGATATATCTATGTTGTTTTTCCAGTTACCTATATATGAAACTCAATAACAACATAGGTATCATTTTATTTTATAGAATATCATTTAGTACTGAAATTACATACCATCATCATACACTAATTAAACTAATGGCTTTGCTTATATGTCAGAGTATCAGTATAATCTTTGTTTTAACAAGCCAATGCTGTACATTGTTAAGAAGCAATGGGTCACGAAACAGTACTCCTACAGACATATTACCATGCACAAATTAAAGCCAATTGTGTGAGGTCAACCTGAACATTTAAACAATATCAAATGCCTTTCCTGTCTCCTTTTTTTCACAAAGCAATATTGCATGGCACTCTCACAGGCATTGTATGATACAGGAAAACCAACTCAAGCATGCAGCTGCTGATGAATGCATTTCAGGATTAGTTTGTGCTGGAGGCAAATCCTTGCATCAATTAATCCACAATTAATATAAAGCTTTTAATATTTTTCTGCTTAATTAATATACAGCTTCTAATTTGCAAAGCTTAATTAATCAATTTTAAATAGCTTTAATGTGGTGAAACACATCTAATAAATGTATGGAGATGTTAAACAAAAATTACTGTAAATGACTAGGAATTTCTGATTAACTTCCACCCCAATTAATTTAAATCCAATTTAAGTTTAGAAAGCAGTCTAACATTTTCAGTTAACTACACTGACCAGAGCATGTATGGAATCAAGAACAATGGTGAACTAAATTATACCATTCTATTTACTTTGTGGATACCATTTCTGGGAATATGCTCATTGTTTTCAGCTCATTGGACAGAGATAAAAACAGTCAAATAAAAAATGTATACTATTAGAATGAGCAGGGAGATGAGCTGAAATTAAGATGGAAAGGAGCAAAACTACTCTCAGCTAATCTTCTGCTTTTATTTGTAGATTTTTGAAAAATTCTTATGACCCTCTTTGTTAGACATTTATGGAAGATGTAAAAGGTAGATTATCTCATATACAGTACAGTACATCCCCTATTCGAGAATAGTTTCTGTAATACAGCTTAGGTATTTTCAAAAAGCTCTCTTTAATTGAAGTATCTCTTGTACTGAAATTGCTGTTGTAGATGACAGAACTGAATATACACCCAACACATTATAAAAGTATAAAGTATAAAGTTATAAAGGTGTATTTTTATCAACACTATGAACAATATGAACACTGCAGACTCACCCATTTCCAGTGACGTCACATTTTGTTTTTAAAGCAAGTATTTTTCATCTTAACTTCAGTGCTCAAAATGCAGGCTTTTATGGGTGGAAGTTAAATGCCAAAAAGGCACTATATGTTCTATTTACAGTATATTCAGTAGCTTGAAGCTTCAAGTTACATACCTAGAAACTGGAGTACATGTTCTAATCTTTGGTCCTAGAGACTTCAAGCAGAAACATCAAAACATTTAAAATAATTTCTGAAATCACAAAGTTGACTTCATTTTAATTTAGCAGAATACAGCAGTTTTTGACCCGTCCATCTCTTTGGTTTTAAATGCTTTATGCTATACATGGTCCCGGAGGAACCGGAGCCTATCCTGGCAAGAAACAGGCACACATCCAAACAAACATGCACACACTCACACCAGTTTTCCCAGAAGCCAATTAATCTATCAGTATGTCTTTGTACTGTGGGGGGTAAAGAGAGCACCTGGAAAAAACCCCAGCACTGCAAGGCATCAATGTTGACCACTGCACCACCATACCCTGCTCTGTTTTTATAATAGAAGGATATAGCCATCAATTACTTTCACTAATTCTGCTTTTCTGTCTTGTGAAGAGTAGGCTTTATTTCCTAGGTTACTTTGTTACTTATCTTTTCTAGAAATCAAAAGCACAATGTTTTACCATTGTTTTCTCACTCTTGTGACTCTTTCTCTACAAAAATTTACTTTTTCATTTTCTATGCATGTTTTTCATCATTATGGACTTTTCACTACAGTTTTCAGTAGAACACTTGTATGAAAAATACCTCCTTAGCATAGCTGATTGTTTTCCTGTCATTTGGTGAATACTTCACAAAGAAAGAGCTGCACTTTATTCACATTAATTATGTTAGATCCACAGGACAGAGAAGCATCCCCTAGAGACATTTATGCTGAGAAAGCATTTGTCTAAAATTAAGACTGTGCTACAACTTAAACGATCTTAATTACATTATTGCTTACCATATAGAAATGTATGAATCTTTTACATTTACAAGACTACATATGAGACATATAAAACTAATAATAATAATAATAATTCACAATTCCCCCAAAAAATCCAAAACAGAAGAAAAACCAAACATATTTCTGTGTGCATACAGTATGTACTGTTTTGAAGAGCACAAAATAAAAAAAAACAATGCAGAAAGGTTCTATTAGACAGCACATTTTAAACTCTGGTTATGTAAAATACATTTTATACATATTTTAATTATTAATTCAACCACCAGACAGCTCTAGATGTTTGCTACTCTGTATTTTCTTCATGTGGTATTCTGTATTCTAGTACAGCCTGACTGAAAACCATGTCAGCCTTACAAGACATATTAACAAATATAAAATGCACCACAGTCTTTTTGAAATATGTCCTGACATCCTTGGTCTTATGACTATTTGTATGTCACAGGACTGCAACCAGCAGGACAGGTCTAGAAAAAGAATGTTACTGGGAAAACAGAAGTAAGCCAGCTGGAACCAGTTAACTTTATTACATGGATATGGATTTGTAGAGGAAAAATGTTCATTTCAAATGTGTTCTTTTGTAAGGGGAAGAACTGAAACTCTCTATAGCTCTGTTTGAGCACTCTTGTATCGGGTGTACACCCTCAGCCAAGCTCATTATTACTAAACAATTTACTGGATTGTTTCATTACATTCTGCTACCATTAACATTAACATTAACAGTAACATTATCTATGCTGTCTGACAAGTTATCCCTTGATCTTGTCCTTTGTAGTGGCATGCCAATAAATTTGGTAATTTAAAGCTATATTGTTGTTATGCCCATGGATGATTAAATCAGTTCATTTTGTAAATATGAAACATATGGGCCACTTTAATTGGCCAATTTTTCTTGGCTATGCATTTATTTGAGCTAAACCTAATGAAGATGTAATAACAAAGACAGACACACATTGGACCATATCTGCAACAGTCACGCCATCCTACTTAATATGTACTAGCCAAACATTTTGATAAAACATGTGTTTTCTTATCTATAATCAATAAAAGTAGCACTGATGTAGGAGTTATTTTTTGTTATTTAAGAAGGACTTCCTGAAAAAACATTTTCTTTTTTTAAAAAACAAATAAATGGTATTCACTTTGTACAAAAAAAATAAAACTTTGAGGCAAAAGATGTCTGATATAAATTATAAAACATTTGACACACCCATGATTACATTCCTGAAGATAATGCAGCACATGTAGTGAACCTTCCCTTAAACATAAGTGGATGAAAGTGAAATGCATATTGGGAGAGTTATTGTTCTACACATGTCATATGTAATTTTTCTAACGACTGCAGTTAAAATAATTATTCATTTTTAATCAATCTGTTACATTTCCCAGTGCATGATAAGTCATTTTCCGTGTTCCATTATTAAAATTTTAAGGAATCATGCTTAGCACAGGCCTCTATCTTGAACTAAATGGGAAGGCTAAAGTGGTTAGGCTTATAAAATCATAATGGGCTTGTCTAGTTTGATAAACTGTTAATGTGGCTGGTGTACAGAAAGAGAGAATGAGGAAGAGAAAAGGGGAGAGGGAGAGCAAGAAGGAGAAAGGGCTGTCTTTATCGTCAAGATGTCAAAGCTTTAACTTCAACTCACCCTGCTCAAGAGGTTGGGGCTTAACTGAAGTTGCTTTCATCTTCAGGGCCTCCTTAGCTGACATATCACAGCAGGAGCCTTTATTGGTGTCCTGGTCACTATCAGCCTGGTCACTGTCCCCATGCCCACTGTCTCTAAGGCTTGCACGTTCAGGGTCCTTGAATGTGGAGCTGCTAAAAATAAAAAAAAACCACAGTGTCTCCTTTACTGACTCTAATTTGAGTAATATAGTCTGAAGGAGTAATTCTGACAGGAATGTAAATGCGATGGCTGAGCAAGTTATTTAATAGCCCTTACCTTTGAACAAACTGCTGCCTGCTGCCCATGTAATTGGGCTCTGCGGGAAAATTGTCTGTCTGTGAAGGAGAAAGGAGAAAATTTACGTATTGTGCTACACAGAAATATCTCCTGCCGTGCAACAAGATTTCCTGGTGGAAAAATGATTAATAATGCAAAAGTTCTCTTTAATCTTCGAATTTGTACATTTTAATTACTTAACAAAACATTGGGCATATTAATTATACTTTCCAAACAATTCCATAATTCCAGGCTTCAAATTACCTGCTAATGTAAATAACAGGCCCTCCTGAAAAGGGCAATTTCCATCTTAAATAGGACACATAATACCATTTCTTAATTAATGATGATATGACGCTATAGTCTTTGAGGAAAAATAATATATGACCCTACTCCATTGAGAAATGTAAAGGACAAGCATGCTGTGATATCCACTTTAATTGTGGCATTTGCATTAAGTTCTAATTGTCACTGCTCTAAATTTAGCAAGCCAAATAAACAGTAAAGGGATGTTGGTTTCAACTACCCTTCAGATTTTAATATTTTCTGTTTTTATTTAATCTTACATCTCATCTCCTGATGAAAATTCTTTGCTAAAAAAATCAAATTCCAAACATGAATGCCTACTGAAACTGGGCAGGCAAGGAACACCAGTGATATAAAGTAATATAACACTAAAATATATAGGGTATTATTCAAGGAATATGAAAAGGTTTGGCTCTGTCAGATATACACCATTTAGTGAGCAAGGAAAGGCTGAAGGGTTGCAATATCAGATTCTCCACACAATGCCACTCTGAAATAGTTATTTTAATATGAAGCATTAAGGATGGTTTTCTCCCTTCACATCCCCCATGTTGTGTTAAAAAAACAATTTCCATTCTTCACACTTAACTCTCATCCAACTGAATTGACTTATCCCTGGTTAGTTCAACACATAGTTCTAGAGAATATAGATTAACTGAAATTTAAGAGAGAAATTAAACTTTTCTGTAATGACTACTGCCTAACAGCCCCAAACAATTTTTTTCAGTAGGTCAGACATTAAGATGGAATGTGAGAAGTAATTTAATTGGTTTTTAATCACTGGTTTGGTCTGTTTGGTTAGAGGAATGACAGGCCGGCTATAAAGACATGGCCATTGGAACCGAATGAACCCAACCATAGGAATAGGTGGGGTAAGAGGCACACTGTGCCTTACCTTTAAATTAAAATGAAATAAATGAAAAGACACAGTTATAAATCAAAAGTCTGTTTTGAAGAATGTCTATTTTTTCATGCAAGAGTGGGAAAAATCCTGGGTAGATAATTAAATTATTTTTTTAGTTTCCTGCAGCAGGATGTAGATTTACTGGACTTTCTGAATGCTTTTCATTTTCATTCAATTTAAATTGAATACTAAAAATACAGCTAAGAGTACAGGTAAAAAAAACGTTTTACTGGTTATAGAGCTCACGGTAACTTCCATAAAATACATATAATTGCATCTCACTTGTTGTTTATTTACATATCCCATTTAGCACCAGCACATCATCACATTAACAAGCCTACTTTCAGTGATTTACTAATATAAAACATTGTACTATGTACCAGTTAGAGAGAACTTGGGGTACAATGTGTTACTTCTGCCATCACCTCACATTTCAACAAAGGTATACACTATCAGGGGACAGAAGTGATGATTCCGCATCAATATCCTCCCTACTTTGAAAAGCATCCCAACAGCTGCTTACAGACTGAGGAATATTTTGTAAATATGCGAAAAATGAAAGCAATCAGTGTATGCAAACACTTGCATATATACAGTATACACCTTTTTAAAGCAACAATCTCCTAGCTCCAAAACACCTTTTGTTCAATGTTTCCTAAAATAAAAGATTAGAGTTTATATATCTGAGAATTTGTAGGGATACTGATAACATAGATGGTGGCATGCTGTAGCAGGTAAGTCTTTGGACTCATGGCAGGCTGTGAGTTTAAGACATTCCTGTTTTACCTTCAGCAAGGTACTTTTCCTCAGTTGTTTCAGTCCACCCAGCTGTATAAATGTGGACCAGCAGGACTGCTGGGGGAGTAATACCTACGATGGACTGCTGTCCCATCCAGGGTAGGAATCATATGCTCTCTCGTGTGCTTAATGTTATAGAAACCAGGATGAGCTCTGGCCTGATGAGGCGTAGTGGCTCTGGTGTGGACAGTACTTTTTACTGCTGCTGTATTTATGTGTTTAATAATAGTTTTATATGAATTATGCCTTAGAATGAGAGTTCAATTTTAAACCTTAGAAAAATGTCCAGCAGTGTAGCACAGTAAAATAATGTCCTGTATGCAGTAACCTTACAGTAGCACTGTTGGTTAAAAAGCCATACCACAGAGAAATATGTTGCTCAGTGAGAGATTAAATGTGAAATCTTTGTCTACCCACGCCTTTTGGAGTGGGCTTGTAGTCTGCATTTTGGTTGGAGGCTACTAAATTTCCTTGGAAAAGTAATCTTAACAGATATACTGAAAGGTGGTGGTGGGGTGGGAATACTTAAAAACTGAAATACCAATAGAAAATAATATTATAACTGATCTCCATTTACATGTATGTGCCTTAAATATAATTTTACAAGAAGACTTATAATTTCTTAAAATGAAATGAATAAAAGCTTAAATTGGTAGATAGTACTGAAGCAAGACAGATAAACATTTAAGAAAATGCTATTTGTTTGGCTGGTGCCCTCTTAAAAAACTCTCAGTTGTAATGCTGTAATACCACAAACTAATTAAATAAAATATATTGTCAAGGAGACAAAAAATGAAGATGCATATACAGTATCTCCAACCATAATCTTTAAATATTGCTTTATTTATTGGATAAACTGAATGTTACAGAATGTCACAATTGAGAATTAAGATGATCAAACCCTTAATAAAAAAGACAAATAAACAAAAAGATAATCGAAAAGATCACAGGATTTCTGTTTAAAAATTAAAATGCAATTAGGAAGCTGATTTCCTTCATCTTGGTGCATTATTTTAAGTAGAATGGGCATCTGTTGCCTAATTCAATGGGCAATACCAATATGGTAGGAGCCTGCAAGTCATATGTATTTACAAGGGAACACTGTAGCATCTCTTTAAAAGAGACTTGCTAGCAAGAACATAAATAGAGAGCATAAATAAATTAAAATTAAAAATGTATATTACTACATTTATTCAGCATAGAGCAAGTTCATTAGGATACAGAGAAAAAAAAGTCTCCTATGCTATTACGCTTTTTCCTGCATGCATTTACAAACCTTGAGAGCACATTTCTACAAATTGGGTTCAAGAAATACTCCCGTAACTGCTATTCTAACAAACAAGAGACTACAACAGACAATTTTGTCCCAACAGCCAAAGTGCATCCAACATATTTACATCATTTACTAAAGATATGCACTTAGCATGGGCTACACTGTCAATAAAAAGCACATTAAGTAACTATTGAAAGGGCTTCCCTGTCAGTCGGACAGCAGATGGATTCTGTCGTCTGAGTTTTCCTGTCAATTTAATATACTAGGTCATATTAACAGCAGAGCCTTGTCAATAAGGCGGATCTGAATCCTATTAATGGAGTTATCCTGCCAATATAATCGGGTTCATATTTATCGAGCTTTGCAGTGTTTGGAAAAGCTGTGAAATGGGATTATAAGGTTACCCTGTGTACATCTGGCTCTTTGGCATATAAATATTTCAGTAATTTGATCACACAGGCTGAAGAAACACCTGTATAATCACTTTTTGTTCCACCTACAAGACTTTGAGACAAGAGGAGCACTCAGACACATAGTGAACAACACATTTCAGTTGCAAATCAACCCTTGCAGCAATTGTACTGCTGTATTCTGCAAACATTTTTTCACATTTAAATTTAAAATCATTCTCAGCTACTCCACATGGCGTCTTTTGTTTTCAAAATAAAAAAAAAATACTTTTATAAACTTCCTTAACTTTATTGTATCAAACCTGATGTTGTTGTTGGATGCAAACATGTTGTAACATTTGAATTTCATTGAAAACATGTTGCTCCTGCCTGTATTTGCTACAGTTGCTTCAGTAAATGAGGCTAAAACCAAGAGCTACTGTACATGAATGACAGTAATGAGAATTTCACTCATAATAATGACAAAACAAATTAAAACAACAACACGTTCTGAGCACTGATTGTTCAGAGCATAAGATTAATAAATGTTATGTAGTCAGTACTTCTGACACTAAAATTCTTAAAATAATCAGATATTCAAGTTAATTTCACAATGTTTGGACACAATATATATTTCCAATGTAGATTAAACCTTTATCAACATTATCTATCTTTTCAAAATTAAAGAAAATATTCTTATTTTTGTGTTTTCTCAGCTCTATATGGAGACAAATACGGCATTTGTTCAAGGCCCTAAAACAGGACTCCTGATATTTAAGCTTTCAAAAATAAAAACTTGCATGCCATGTTAGGAATGTTAACTTTATTAAATTATTACTTACATACCTTAATGGAGTGAACTAAATGCCAGTGGCATTCATTTCCTCTTGCTGGTCCCTAGAAGTAAGTACAATATTTAAAATCAACTTTACTAACTCCCTAAACAATAGATGCAGTCTTGAGTACAGTGGAAGGAATATCTGGTTAAATGAATTAGACAAGAAGGAATCATTTCTCTTAAGCCCCAACCACAAGTCAAAGGACTTTTGTATCCTACAGGCTTATAAATACATATTATATTTTTCTGAAAATTAAATATCAGTACAATATTTTAGTAGCTCTTCACATGAGAGGTTATATTTCCCATTTTTCAATTCTGTATGGCCCGAAACAGGATTTTTAAACACCTAATTAATAAATGACAAATGGAGCATTAAAAAAGTCTTATTGACCTAGTAGTAACTGACAGTAATCTTACTTAGGATTAATAACATGCTTAATAGCAAAACCCATAATGTTCACAGATATGTTTTAGTAATTAACAATTTAGTGATAATAGCCTGAATGTTATGCATGTGTAAATGCTCACTATCAACCCCTAAACTAAGGTTTACTAACAAAACATAATTGTTTAACATAGTCTTGGAATAGCACACCAGAAAAACATATTCTTGCTTGGAACTGGAAAAATAGTCCAAAATAGTAAAGCAAAAAAGACTCATTATCATTCATCTTGGAACAAAGTATTTGAAGTGTAAAACTGATGGCATAAGCAGAGAAAACAAAAGGCTTTCATAATTTGCATTGCAAAGGAGAACAAATCTAAAACAATAGTATTAATCTCCACCCTTATGTGGCTGGGAGTGCAAATAACACAAACTTCTTTTTGTAAGCTGTTTCAAATGAAGAATGTTGCATTTATGTCAAATAAAAATTGATAGACAAAAATAGAACCCAGGCAAAGAAATAATAAAATGAAAATACCCTAGAAAATTCAGAATATCTACAATATTCCACTTGTATCAAACTATATGTAAAGTTCACAATTAAGAAGAATGATATTAAGAAGAATGATATCCATGCAGTGCTCTTTAAGAAAATAAATTAATAATATAAATTTATATATTTATACTATAAATGTATAGAGTTCCTTTAAAAAAAAAAAGATTTACAGCATAACTTTAACAAGGATACATACTTTCTGGACTTCGAAATTACTGGTAAAGAAAGATAAAATCATACTGTGGTTCATACATTTGGATGAGATTGTACTGAATGCTCAGCAGAAGAGCTAACAGAACCTAAATATTAAACTAATGATGAGGCTAGTAATAGGGTGAATCTGTATCTGAATTATTCACAAAATAAGAATTATGAAATAGATAAGAGAGTAAAAAGACCAAGGGGGAAATATATGAGTGGGGACAACTCCCACTATACTATGGAAATAATACTTCAAAGCTCATAGCTTATTTGTTTAAATATGTGGTACACTTGAACATCTATTATTCACTTTCAACAGAACTGACATGCTAAAGCCCTATATGCCCTTTCTTATAACACATCATTGAACAGTTGAAAAATGAAACTCCCCTTTGTTTATTGTGCAGAGGAAAAAGACATAAACATCTAGTTTGAGCTTCAGAATGTTTATTTCATTAGTGTAGCCACATAGATAGCACCACCGAGTATTTAGTTATGTCTTAGTCTCAAATTTAAAATAAGAAAAAACAATTACATGTTTGTCACTGAATTTTCGTGGTCTTGGGTAAACAACTAACATAGCATAATTCATTGTTCTCAGCCATCTTACACCCAGAAGTTTACACCTAGGGAGATTAAGGTAATAGATACTATACATGTTTCTGATTCCTGGGAATAAGCTCTTTAGTCTTCTAGACCAAATTGTCCATTGCTTTTCAGAAGCATAAGCATGAATTTGTTTGGTAAGTTACTCAAATATAATGTATAATTCAGATAATATAAACCAGGTTTGAACCAGGTTTTATTTCCTTTTGAACAAAGTAACCAGCTCCAACGTCTTGAAATATCCTGTCCTTCAGCCTGTTGGAATTTAAAAAGTACTTTTCAATTCTATGTGTAAATTAGTCTGTTAAAATATTCATAAATATACTATATATATATGGTCTTCATCAATACCTGTAAAAAAATGAATACCTTATCCACTGCCTTACAATGAGAGCAAGAAAAGAATAAAACATAATATTTAATAAGAAACATAATATACCATATAATATAATTTATATAACAATATAATAATTTTACTATTTATTATTTTTTATAATTTATATAATTTCATATAAAGCTTTTACATATTTACTAATTTTTCAACAAGTATGTTTTAAGTGTCAATGATAAACATTTTGGAAAATATCACCAGAATTCCCTGTAAAATAATAATCTATTGCATTTCGTTCTGAATTACCTGAAAAGAACCACCAAAGTCTTACTTTTTTATCACTTGAATAGAGGTACATTTGTAGATGAACTACAGGAGGTTACTTGTATTCTAGGGTCAAAAATAAAAGTTTTAATACTTTATTTTCAACAATTTAACAAAAAAATTTAACATCTTCATCTTCACTCTTCAATAGTCATTATGCCCCAAAGGAAGTAGCATAGGTCATTATTTCATACCTTATCAAAAAGATATACATGTAGACAGGTTTATTTAGTGATGTTTGAGAAAGTCATCGTGAAGAAATTATTTTATACAATTAAAAGGAGAGTTTAGCACAAAAGCAAGGTAATCTCAGAACAACACTATTTTAGGAAGTTTAGGAGCAGCAGTCTTTCTTTTCTAAAAGTAAAGCGAAATGAAATGGAAAAAAAAGGCTATTTCCAAATGTGCAGTATACCTTAAGGCATAAAAACAGCTCTTTAAGTGTTCTGCAAAAGTGTCACAGCACAGAATGCCAGTTTAACGATTGCAGCCTAGAAAAGCTGTTTGATTTTGAACCCTTTCAAAATGTGCTGAAAGGCAGTATTCAAAATATTTCATAGTATATAAAGGACGATTATTGTGACATCGATCCCCAGGTCTTTCAAAGATTTTCAAGTTGCCCTAATCAGGATTTTGTGAAAAAGTATTGCTACCCACTGTGACTCGGCAGAACAGGCACTGGGAAGAGTACTTACAGTATAATGATGATTCAAAGAAGTTAAATCTAAATGAGTAAGGTCAGTCTATATAAAGTAAGTTTAGTCTTTATTTGAGTCATGCAAATAAGAAATCATGCAAATAAGAAAATGATTTGCAGTGGCAGACAATTCCCGAAAACTACATTTATACTCCCTTCATGTAATATGTTGATATATTGACATGCATTACAGTATTATCAACTTATTTGGCTGACACCTTCATTCAAAGAAAATTATTACTGTATATCTATTGAAATATTTGGACATTTTCTGTCACAATCAGAATGACATTTCTTGCTCAAAGGTACATGTGTCTGCATATGCATATGATCATATATATAGTACACAGATTAACGCATGTACTGTACATACAAAATATTATTTCAGAGAATTCTGTAGAGTAAAACTCATAGCCTTCATTTTTCTTGATTATGTCTCATGGAGCACAAAATAGAGCTGCACACAACATTTACCTTTATATGTGAGGAGTGAAACCTGCAGAGACTAAAGTGACAGAAGAATGAGTGAGTTACAGCACTGTTGAAAGGTCATGCAGGAAGTACAGAGCCATTACAAAAAATGAACTCGACAAGTGGGCCACACTGTACTGTTACAGAACACTGAGCGGCATTGTTTATTGTAATGGGTATATCACTGAGAGTCTTTTCTGACAAAACCAGTACAATTCTCTCCTGTAATTACTGACATATCCTCAAGACAGTATAATCATAGCTATATTGTTCACTGCTTACCTGAATTAGTTGGAATTTTGTGTGTTAAGAAGGGAGAAAGATTAGCAAACACTGTGCATCATCAGATGATATATAAATCAGAAAAGATATTCAAATTGAATGGATGTCCCATTATACAAATACTTAAGGTAATGCATTAGAAATTAAACACCAGATATTTGAACTGTGTTGAAAATAAAACAGCTACTCAGTTTTTGGTTTTACTACAATATCATTTTCTTGTTCAATAATTTTTCAAGATCCGTTTGAAAAATACATTTTAAAAGAACACTGACTGCTCAAAGATTATGGGGAGCAATTTTAGCTGACATCAGTTGCAGATCCTTAAAATGGTGTCTTTTGTCAGGGAAAGTATGCAAAATGAATAATTAAAAATCAATAGAAAGACATGCAATAACAGGCCAGGCAAAGGCAAACCGTGCTGCTGGGATTGCATGCACTTGAGTCGGCCCTGGTATTCTCATCTTGCTACTTAACAGCAATCTCTGTGATCCCCCCTATTTGCCAGGGCACCTGTAAACTTGTAGTTTTGTCAGTGAGAGCTGCAGCCTTTCCTTTCAATCATTGCTAGCTCCCATGCAGTTACTGTGAGGCTCAGGGCGTGAGATATAGTAGCTTGCTCTCACAAGTGGAAATTCAGAGGAAATGTTTTGCTGTCCTCACCCCATCTCGTCCCTCCCCAACCCCCAATGTTAGTATGATTGCTTATTTTAAACTGGAAGTGTAAAAAGAGAACTATTTGGAGGGGAAAGAATAAATACCCTTACATCCCTTGAAAGATTGAAAAATGCTGTAGACCTGTAGAATTTAGACTGTGAGAGCTGTTTTTTTTATTCTTGCCCTGACCATTGTAAATATGCATTTAAAATATTTAAATACATGTTCTGTGTTTGTTTTGACATTTATAGTAGAGGTATAAACAGGGCTTTATGTGGATTATAAAAGGCATAAAAAAAGATTGTATTCAGAGGATGGTTGTGCAGCTCATTCCAGGAGGACCTGTCCATTAAATAAACTCATTTCGAAAACTTCACAAAATTGTGCTGATTTTTTCGTATCACTACAGACCAGTGGAAAGACTTTTGTATTCAGAAACAATCTATTCAGAAGACAAGAAAACCTGTTTGTTGTTTGACAGCTAAAACTGTATAAATCTTAAATGATTAACTTTGAAAGAATACTACATAGTATCAGCTAACATTA